CGAGCTTTCCTTTGATCCGGATGACGTCATCACTGACATCGAGATGGTGGATGAGGGCTGGTGGCGGGGGCGTTGTCATGGCCACTTCGGACTCTTCCCTGCAAATTATGTCAAGCTCCTCCAGTGACTGGCCCTTTCTGTCTACTGCAACTGTGACTTCCCATGTCCAAAGTGGCTCTGCCACCACCCTCTCCCTGTTCCTGCTGCGAGTGTCTAACAAGATGTATGGTTGCCTGAGGCTCTGAACATGCTTCCCTCTCCCGTTCCATTAAAGGCTTGGGGCAGAGACTACATGAAGAAGGGGTCTCCTTCCCCTCAGCATCCTCTCTCCCCTGAATGAGCTCACGGACATGTGTCTTGGGGTCCTGCCTCCTTCCCCACGAATACCCCCTATCCCCCCATACTCTGCTCTCCAACCTAGTGCTCTCCCGGCTTCCTGGTTTGCTTACCTGGGAAGGGTGTGTCTAGATTGCCTGGTTTACCTGGTTATGCTGTTTGCCCACCTTCCTTCCCTGCAGACATATCTCTGAACCTTCTCTCTGCTCAGTCCTAAAATTGGAAATAAAGTGGGACTATGGCTCACCTCTGTGCTGAGGTAAATAGTACTTTTTGTGCAGCAAAAAGGGCCCCGACTCTCCTTGGCTCCAATTCTCCTTCCCTCTTCCAGGCACATGCAGAAGACTTCCTCTTCCCCCTTCCTACGCCCCTGCAGCCTGGATGTCAAGGGCTAGGCCTTGTTCATAGACTGCACTTTCGATCCAGTCCAAAACAGACCAGCTTGAGGAGTGGCAGTAAGGTGGGCTAAGAGAGGGCCAGTTGGTTTCTGCATTAAAGCAGTTCAGCTTCTACTGACTTTAGCAGTTGTGGGAGGCCAGCTACCTTTGGCCTGGGAGTAATGACCACATTTTTTAGGACATGGAGATTTGTGATTAAGGGATGGGAAGAAGGAAAGGGGAGGTTCAGTGAACAGAGAAGACTAAAGCTAGAGGAAAATAAACTTGGGTGGGGTGTAAGAGGATTTGAAGCCAGAGACAGTGACCTCTGCTCAAGAGAGTCCAGGCTTCCTTATAGCTGGACTGAACTCAGTGGCCAGGAGAGAGGGTGGATGGAGGACGCACATCTGTGTGGTCCAGGGCTGAGGCAGATAAGAAAAGAGGCAAGTACATTGGGCAGCCAGTGACAGGCAGAAGGTGCATCACCAAGCACAACAGGGTGAGAGTGAGAGACCAGGGCAAGCTGGGTTTATCCCAGCTGCAAGCTCCTGTGCTCACCCTCAGCAAGGTCCAGGTTAGCAGATCCTGGGGCAAAATCCAAAGAAAAGTCAGGGATTTGGGGCAGGGGATCTTTGGTAGCACATAGAAGTCTGTGCTGTTATCAGTATGGAAGTTGGGTCTAGCTTTCAAAGACGCGGAAGGCATCGGGATCAAGGAGGAGCTGGCATTAGTGGCTGAGACTCAAGTTAGTTGCTCCAGGACCTCACGGGGCAGGTGAGTTGCCCATGTGTCTAAAGTGCTGTGTCCCTCGGGCTTGTTTCTTGGCTTTTCTTCATGATACACACTCCTTGGCTTCCACGATGATGTCTATGCCAGTGAATCACAAATCTGTCTGTAGACCTAACTCACAAGATTCACCCAGTTAGCCTTTCAGAGTGCAAAGCAGCTTTTATTTCCTCTTGCAGAGACATTGGGATTTCCAGTAGGTACAAGTCACCACGGATACACTCGATCTCATCCTTCATTTCAGTTTGATTTGACATCACACACAAATCAGACTTTTACAGTGATTTTCCTGATACATCTCCAAGTTCCACCTGGCTTTTCATTTTGTCCTTTATTATAAGAGAGAAACTCCTTTTCCAGAGCCCTGTGCCGCCAAGGCAGCAAGGTCCTCTCTGCCTCGGTTGTACCGGCCTCTCCCTCCCCACTCACCCGCTCCCTGCTCTGGACTGCCCTTGTCGCGGGGATGCTCGCCCAGGGCTCTGCTCATGGGCGGCCCCCTCCCTGCCTGCGCAGTCCCTCTCTGCTCCCCTCAGCTGCTTCTTCATCTGAAGCCACGTCTGGCCGACTTGCCTCTGTCAGGTGACACTCGCTGCTTGGGCTGCTCACCACAGCTTCATCCCACTAATCAAATCCTCGGTGTCTCTGAAAGACTTTCCTATGGCTCCATCTCTCTTCTCACTATAAAATGTGCTTGTTCGTCTTGAAGCCCAAGCTTCAGCACTGCTCTGCAGGCAGCATTCCGGAGGGGAAAGTGCAGCTGGACGTGGGCAGCCCCCAGAGCCGTGTCCCACCCACCCAGGTTGTGAGAAGAAAGCCCTCTGCCCTCTTCCTTTCTCTGTACGGCACCCCGCTTCTCCTCTGTCCAACTGTAGCCCCAGATTTTCATCTGCATTGGTTTGTAGTTCTCCTCTCTCTCTTTTTCTAGTAAAATAAGAAACTCGGAGTGAACTTCAGGAGCTTTCTCCCTCCATGTAGGAAGGACTAGATTCGAAGCACATGGAACTGACACCTGGAGAACTCTCTTCCTTCTTTCCCACTTCAGTGCTCAGTTGTTTCCAGTTACTCATCTTCACTGAATAAAACCTTAGGTCACACTCTAGTTATATTTTTTAGAAAATGGTGCCTTATATACAAATGTGAAATATAAACCAAACAACAGGATTAAGAACAATTGAGTTATATCACCAAATAGTACCAAGTGGCACATTATAATGAAAAGATGAGCGTATTTCTGGTCTGAGACTTGCTCTACTGCCTTCTTGACTCCTTTCAGAGGTGTCGTCTACGTCATCTATAGTAGCTCTGGACCACGTTCAGAGAGAGAGAGACCCAGTGGCAACAAGCACCCAAATTGACTAGACTCTTTCTTTTGTTGGCTAAATTCTTTTTTCTCCACCTCCCTACGACGGCTGTCCTACCCTTTCCCTATTTCTCACTTGCCTGAGGACTGCTAGGACTTCTGGGAAAATGGCACTGATTAAGGTGAGAAGGATATAAACACAAGACAACCCAACTTTCCTGGCTTCAGGTATACCCCAAAAGAACTGAAAGGATATAGTTTTGCAGGTGGCTCAAGGACATAAAGCCATACCAAACAAACCAGCTCCATCCAGGTCCCAACTTAAAATCACCATGTGTCTGAAACCTATTTAGTAAATAAAGAAGAGCTGCATTAAATCATAACCATTGTGGATAGCTATGTGAGATAAGATTTTGCTGTACTAAAAGTAAGCCTATCCTGACATCCTTTGGTTCTCAACTGGGAGCCATTTTGCTTCCAGAAAACATTCAGCAATGTCCAGAAACATTTTTGGTTACCACTGTGGGGGGGGTGCTACTGGCATTTAATGGATAGAGGCCAAGGATGCTGCTACATATCCTATAACACACAGAAGAGTCCCTTATGACAAAGCAATATCCAATTTGAAATATCAATAGTTCTGAGGTTGAGAAGCTCTGCTTTGGGGGATGCCAAGTTCTATTGTGCATTTTTTTCCTTTTACTTTTGTTCTTGTGAATATTCACTGTTTGTTACCAAAAACAGCAGTATCATCTATTTTTGTCAGGCCAAAGGCATGACCAGCAATAGGTAGGAGCAATTTTAGGGAACTATTACGTTCACATGTCTTCCTCTCCAAGACCCCAGTGGGGTACCCAAGTGGTGTCTAGGATCTGGTGACTAGTACCAAAGGAGCTGCAGTGGACCTCCTCTGGACTTTGCCAAACGTGTGATCTCCTTGGGCTACCCTGTATATTCTGGCATGACAGTAGGTTGGCATTAGTGTACTGAGGTCATTTCAGATAGAATAAGGTGACGCTGGCCTATGCCTATACTTTCCCTAACCCAGACTCAGAATATAATTTTCAGAATAAAAAAACTTTGATTACGTCTTTTTTTTTTTTTGTGAGACAGGATCTTGCTCAGTTGCCTGGGCTAGAGTGCAGTGGTGTCATCATAGCTCACTGCAACCTAACGCTTCTGGACTCAAGTGATCCTCCTGCCTCAGCCTCCTGAGTAGCTGGGACTACAGGCATGTGCCACCATACCCAGCTAATGTTTCTAATTTTAGTAGAGACAAGGTCTTGCTTGTGCTCAAGCTGGTCTCAAACTTCTGGCCTCAAGTGATCCTCCTGCCTCAGCCTCCCAAAGTGCCAGGATTACAGGAATGTGCCACTGAGCCTAGATTTAAGTCATTATTAAAATGTTAAAAAGTAGGCTTGTGGCTTTTTTGTCCTAATTTTCTCCATAAATATAGGGTCTCCTTCGGGCTCTCCATTTTTCAAGGTTTTCCTGCTGCATGTTGCCAAGATGCTATACAACAGACACTGACCTCACGTCGGCCCCTCATCTGTTGGCCTGTGGTGTCCTCCAGGCTGCTGAGCTCAGCCAGGGGCTCTACTCTGTTGGGCTGTTAGGACTGTCTGGGCTTAGAGGCAGTAGGGGACTAAAAGAAGCCCTTAACTTGACTGGCAAGACAGATCCAGCCCCAGCACCTTCAACGTGTGCCTTTGCCCTGGGAGCCCTGGGGAGTAACTCTCTGCACCTCAGCCCCTCCCTGCACTGCCTGCTCCACACATTCAGAAGTGCTTTGTAAACTAAAAGCCCTGCGGAAAAGCAACAGGCCTGTGCTAGTGAGGGAATTTCATTGCTCTCTCATCTCTTAAGGAGTTGGGTTCATCTTCTGAATGGCCTCAAGTTGCTTATTTTCTCCTCAGACTGATCTATTTTAGGGAAAAGAAAAAAAATGAAAGGAACTAAGTCATCAATATGCCACTATGGTACAAGTCATGGCTTAGGAAACTCTTAGGTCTTGTGTGACCACAAAGGCTTTGAAGGTCTGGTGTGACTGTGGAGGTTTTGTATTTAAACATCGCGTGTTCCAGTACACCCTGATAAGCACGTATGCAGTTTACTGAAGGGAATCTTCAAAACCGCACTCTGTCCTACCAATGCTTTCAGCAACTCCAAGGAGGAATCCAAGACTGGCGGCATCTGAACCTTTAGGAAGTGTATCTTCCTCGTGCTCTGGCTCTAAAGGTGGAGACCAGGCTTTCTCGGGCCTGCTCACGGGGCCCACACATGCTGGTTAAAAGGATCGGGTCAGTTTTGCGCTCTACGATGTTGAAGGGACAGGCCTTCAGGTGCTCGGACATGGAGGTGACTTCATTAAACTCCCAGCTCTTGATTTTGGAGAAGAGGCTGCTGAACTGCCAGATCTGTTGGGAAAGAGAGAAGCTCACAGGTGAACAATGGGGCCCACCTTCGGGCTGGCTTTATTTGAACAGTGTAAGGAAAGGCCTTTCTGTTCTTCCTGTTCTTAGCCTCCGGAGTGTTTAGTCGCTGCTGCAGACATGGTTAGTTCCTTCCCTAGCATCCCATTCCTCGTTTGCCTTCCGGTTACTAATCTCAGACAGCCATGTAGTTGTGAAGGAATGGCTAACAGCAGTCAGCGTATTGACACATACCCGCCCCACGTCCCCTCCAGCGACAGTGATTAGTTTTAGAGTAGACAAGCAGTTCAAATCAGGACAATTAGTACCAATGAGACTCTACTCCAGAACTTGTGTTTGAGATATCAAAAAACCAGATTATCTATTTCCTTCTGTACTTGAACTGGGAAGCTGCAGTCCTAGGAGCTGTCAGCAGCTACCAGGGACCACCAAGGGAGAACTGTCTTAGAATGGAGCCATTATTGCGGAAGTAAAGGAAAAAAATAGAAAGAAAAAAGGTCATTTGGGGCATTTTTTGAGCTGCTAGATCAAACCTTACCTGAAACCATTACCTTTGGACTTTTTAGTTATATAAGCCAATAAATTCCTTTACTGTTTATGCCACTTTAGGTTGGTTTTCTATTGCTTGAAATTAAAGTATTCTAACTAATAAGGGTCTCACTAGAACAGGAACCCCATAGGAGAATTCTATGGGTCTGGTACTCAGTAAAACACCCTCTGATCTTTCCACCCAGGATGTGGTGGCAAAGTCGCTAATTCTAAAATATGATTATGAGAGTAAGCTTATAACCTGATACCCTTTCCACTTGACTACTTCACCCTCAGTTTCTTGTCATTATTCCTGTATAAGAAAAGTATTTCCTGGAATCTTAGAACTACTTGCCTTTTTACTTTAAAAAGCCATGTTAATAGCAGTATCCTTTAGTCCTAACTAAATTCTCTTCCTTTCTGCAAGGAAATAAGTTTGTCCCAAATGATATCTAAGAGTGGTCAGCAATCATTGAACTGGGGACAAGCTTGAGCCAAAGAATGGGATTTCTAGTATTTAAATTAAATTATTTGCATCCGATTTTATAGAGGAAGGTATTAGCAGTTTTAGACAATACTATTCCTGAGGGCAGTATCTTAGTCTCATTCATGTTTATCCCTAGCACGGGCAGTCAGTGTTTATTTAACACTTGGATGCAGGCATGGATACATGAGGGACAGCCTTATAATCATTTTTTGAAGAAGACTAATCAGGGAATAAATAATAGGCAAAATATACAAGATGTTTTAGATATAATCAATAAAAATAAGTTGATCAACAATTCTAACTCTCCAATGCTAGTTTGCAAATACCCATATATTAGAAAGAAACTCAACAGTGAGATTATGGAATTATTGGCCTAAGTGGGCATCATAAATTCATTTTTCATATTACCAACATATTTACCCTGAGAAAGGATGCTATGAGCACCTGGGATATGAAGAATTAGGAGTCTCACTTCCGTATGGTACAGCCTGGTAGGAGTGATAACAGTTAAACAGACATGACTTACAGGGAAAAAGGAGTAACAATTTTTCCTAAGGGAGAGATTCTTTGATTTATACAGCAGGGTTTTTGGAAAAATTAAATTGGCATTTGAACCGGGGGGAATCAGTGGGCCAAATTCATTTAGAATTCCAAAATGCCTTTCTCAAAGGAAAAAACTGTTCTAAAAAATTAGTTGACATGGGACTAAGGAGAATCTGTTGGCCACTGTATCAATCAGAGTTCGAGCAGGAAAAGATAGCACACCCAAACTGGGTAATCTGAATAGGATTTTTAAAAGGAATGCTTTACAAACATGTAGGCCGGTGTACTCAGCTAGAGAGTTACTGCTCTAGGCCTGGAGGGGAGGTAGAAGGGAGGTCATTGGGACGGAGAGTAACTGTGTGGAGAGTGCCACCTTCAGTGGAGGGACAGGGCAGTTCAAAGTGTCATGAAGGGGAGGAAGCATGCACAGAGAAAAAGATACTTCACCCTCATTCTTCCCCTGCCTCCCATCTCCTGCTGATACACTCCATTAGATTAGCCCCACTGGCAGCTGGAGGGCAAGGGAGCAAGTTGAGGCAATCTGTACAGATCAGCTTCCTGGGGGCAGACCAGTGTGGAGAAGGAAGGAGAATGGATCATGTGAGCAAACAGAAGATATTCAGGACACATTAGAGATAAACGGCACTACCATCTGCGTTGCTATTTGTATGTTCTAGTCCGGCCTCCTTGAGTCAGTTTTATTTCCAGCAACTGTTCCAATGCCTATTGCAGTGCTTGGCACATAAAAAGCTCTTAATAAATACTTGAGGAATAAATGAATAAATAAATGTTTACTTGCCTGTCTGTGGACTCTCCAGGAGGTGCCTCCATGGGAATACCTCTTCTTCTTCCATTGCAGGAGGACCATCCCTCTCTCTTGTAGCAAAGTGGCACAGATACTCCTCATCAGCACGGACACCTGGGAGAGCTGGGACAGGCTAATGCTGTCTAAGAACCCAGCAATGTACTGCAAAATCTCCAGGGGTAGGCTGGTTAGAGAATTCTGGCTTTTTCCTCCGTGGCCTGAGAGATGGTTGTTTTTCCTTCCGTCACTCAGCTCTGGAGCAACCTCCGGCTTGATGGCAAAGGTCTTGAGCTCCTGACTGTAAATCACTTTTGCCTTTTGCCCCGGGGGACGGAAATAGTTTTGAACAAATGTACATCCCAAGTAGGCGAGGGGGCATCGGTGCTGGAACCAGCCGTTGAGACATGACTGAATGTCTGTGTGAACATTCTTGAAGTGCAGAGGGAATTCATCCCTCCTGAAGAATTTGTTGCAAGTGAAAGTGAAAGCAGAGCTGCTCTTGTTGTGTCTCCTGGTCACACATTCGCTGTGGAGCTCCACGTGGAGTCCCCCCGGGATGGCAGTGGTTACGAGGTCAGCCAGCACTGTCCCAGAGGAAAACTGTTCTGCCTCAAAGTTGTACGTCTGTGTGGCAAAATCCATGAACAGCCCATCGATGCTCCTGGATTCAGAGATGACGTGACCTTTGAGTTCTCTTTCCAGAGCACACTGGAGGGTGGTCTTGATGAGATCTGATTTGGGCAGGTCCTCCACAGTGATGCCCAAATCCGAAGTATCCACTGCCTTGTGCTCACTTGGCCTACAGCTCAACATGGCATCTCCGATTCGAGCTCGCTTTCCACAGTAGCTCATGGGAACTTTGAAGGTGTGAACAGTCTTAACTTCCTGAGCCTCAAGGTTGCCATAAACAAAGTCTCTCTCCTTAGGTGTACAAGCCGGCATCTGGCCAAAGTGAATAAGCATCCGCCCGTTGTGCACTAGATACATATTATAGTCCTTTGCATCCACAGCTGTTTTCAATCTTTCCAGAACACCATCCTGCCAAGGGGCAAGCCCTGTCGTTTCCACGGTTGTGTGAAAGTCCCGCTGCTCCTGGTTGTCCTGTGGTTCCTTCCCTTTGGCAGTGCCCTCTCCCTCTGCCGTGTTGTTGCCACTGGAAATCTGGTCTTTCCCTGAGACCTTCCTGCTCTTGCTCTCACGGCTTTCTGACGACTTTGCTAAAGCAGAGGCTGCATGCTCTTTGCTGAATATATTTTCCCACTTGCCAAACTTGTCCAGGTCCATCCCTTCTTTGGTTTTGGCTAAGGCCTCTCGTTCTTCTTGACTCAGCTCCGCCGCCTCCCCGTTAGTTGCCGACAGGCAGCCGTGTGGTAGCAGACCGGCCTCCGCTCCACCCACCGCTCCTCCCATGTCCTCCACACCGGCTTCCCCGTTCGCAGCTGGTTCCTCCTCGGTGGCATCTCTCGTTTCTGGGAAAAGGTCTACCATTTTCAAGGATCTGAAGAGGACTTTCTGGTCCTGCAGGGCCAGGGCTGTGTCCAAACACTCCTCACTGGGTGGCTCTTTCATGATGTTCTCGTGAAGGGTGGTCTCAGAGTCCACGTTTGGCCAGCGGTTCCACTCCATGGAGCAGCAGACCACGCTGGCGGGGCACACCTGCAGGTGCTTGGCCAGCTTGTGGCGCGACATGGAAAGGGGGCAGCCATATTCGGAGTTGAGGCAAGGGACCTGCTCCAACGGGCAGAGGAGCGCGTGCTCTGCCTCTTTGCACATGTGGAAGACAGCGCCGCAGAGCAGGTGGCAGCTTATCACCAGGCAGGAGACGCTGGGCTCCACCGGAGCATGGCAGTGGCGGTTGAAGCACCCCTCGCAATGCCTGTGCTGCCCGGGGAGGGGCCTGCGTGCCCTGCCCTGCACACGTCGCGGGCAAGGGGAACGAGAAAACAAGTGAATGCTGGAAGAGCAGCTCTGCGCATGTCTGTGAGTGTATTTTAATTGACTTAATTCCTGTCTATACGTGCTTTTTGTAAAAACTTTTTACTATATAGAAAATCGCAGAGAAGAAAGCAAAAATCAATCATAACTCCACAGTCCAGAAATAACAACTGTAAACACTCTTTTTCAATTTTTCCAATAGTTTATTGGGGGGTATGTTTAGAATAGGAAAAAAAGCTGAATGTGATTGACTACACTGTTGACAATTGTTATTTTTGAGTTGTGGATTATGGGTGACTTACATCACACAGTTAATACTATGAACACAATTTTGCATCCTGCTTTTTTTTTTTTTTTTTTTTTGAGACAGAGTCTCACTGTGTTGCCTGGACTAGAGTGAGTGCCGTGGCGTCATCCTAGCTCACAGCAACCTCAAACTCCTGGGCTCAAGCAATCCTTCTGCCTCAGCCTCCCGAGTAGCTGGGACTACAGGCATGCGCCACCATGCCCGGATAATTTTTTTTCTATGTATTTTTAGTTGTCCAATTAATTTCTTTCTATTTGTAGTAGAGACGGGGTCTCGCTCTTGCTCAGGCTGGTCTCGAACTCCTGAACTCAAACAATCCGCCCGCCTCGGCCTCCCAGAGAGCTAGGATTACAGGCGTGAGCCACCGCGCCCGGCCTGCATCCTGCGTTTTAACTTGGCATTAGAACATGAGACTAATGGACTGTTTTATTAATTATTCTTTGCAAGCTTTCTTCACAATGGCAGTGTAACGTTCCAGAATATGGGTGTGCTGTTATTCAACCAACTACTACCAGAGGGCGCGCTGGGAGGACAGCCGTCCTGTCTGGTTTAGCTCACGTTTGCAACTCTGGCGTCTGGCACCGGGCCTAGACCTTTGTAGGTCTTTTTACTCAATAATGGTTGTGGAATGAAGGAATTGTTAGCCATTCAGATCACTGCTGGCTTTTTTGCTATTTTATTTTTAAATTTTGACTAAAAATCTTTGCTCACAGATCTTTCTCAACTCTCTGCTTTCCCCCTACTGTGTCAATTTCTTCCAAGTTCTCTGTTCTGCATCTTTGGTTTCACAAAAAGCTGATAAATACCATCAAACCATAAGACAAGTCTGCTAGATGCTTGGGCTAAAAGCTAAATAAAGCAAGACCTGGACCTCTGAAAGGCGAAACTCCAGTAAAGCACTTGGTACTTACCATAGCTTCCTAATTTCTTCTTACTTCTTAAGTCTAGGGGAAAATATGAAAATATGAGTATGAATGATAAGTAAGATTAGTAAGAAAAGCATTGTGGTTACCTATATTCACAGGGGCCAAAGAGACTTCACATTGCCTCTCATTTAATTCCTTCCAGCATCCTGGAGGTGTCCTCACCCCCATTTTACAGTCAAGGAAAGAGAAGCTGGAAGAAGTGAAGTAACCTGTCCAAGATCACACAGCGATAGAATCAGCTTTGCCACCGCGGCCACACTGGCCCATGCTCTTTTCACTGACCCACACTGCCCTCTTACGGGGCATGTTACCAAGCATGGGATGTGTAACCTCTGCTTCCTGTAGCTTCTCCCCATTGTCTACTTGCAATTATCCTGGCATTCCAGGCACCCTTCCACCCCCAATCTGGACCAAGTTACCTTCTAACCTTCTCTCCCACGGGGACTTCCTGTCTACTTAGAGTTCAGCCTGATGTCCAGCGTGGTCTGGGGCAGTATGTAAGTGTCTGTAAACTATCCATCCATCCCGTGCCATTTGCCCTGGTGTATTCAGCTGTGCTCTGGCCGGAGCAGGGGACAAAACCCCAAAGGCCCCAGAAGCCGACTGAGCGGAGACTCTGGCAAGTGGAAGAGAAGATGCCCTGCGTTCAGGAGAGTGACATTACTCAGCTTGGTCTCATGTGGGAATGTGTTGCCAGATCTGGTTTTTCCAGAGAAAGTGGGGAGGCCGACTTTCGTGAGTGGTGGTATAGTGGTTAGGAGGCAGACTGCACAGGTTTCAACAGTGACGCTATAAGTCAGTAGTTATGAGACTTTGGGAAAGTTGCTTAACCTCTTTGTTCATCAGTTTCCCCATCTGTAAAGGGACAATAATGATTGTACCTATCCCATAAAGCTGTTGTGAGGAGTAAATGAGTTAAATACACATGAAACTCTTAGAACAGTGCTTGTCTCATAGGAAGTGATCTACACGTTTGCTATTATAAAATAAATATTTTATATTTCATCATAGTGTAAAATATTTTATTATATAATTTATCAAAATAAAAACCCTCAGAATTTTAAATATTGGCAACTAATTTAATTTAAAAAGACAGCACTCTATTTGAGCCAAGAAAAAAACGTGAACATTGACTAGATAAGATCAGCAGGTTGCCAGTTTGCAGTACGTGGTCTAGAGAATTTGTAACAATTTTGGGACTGTGTTAGTCTGGAATGGGGTGAGGAGGTTAGCATCCAAAAGTCAGAAGATGCAGAATTTTAAAATGTTATTTTACTTTAGGTTTGCCAATTCATTGTGGGTGAATTTTCCCTCAACTTTTTTTTTTTTTTAAACATTTCAAACATGCAGAAAAGGTGAAGTAATATATACAATGAACACCCAAATATATTCTATCTAGATTCAACAATTTTTAACATTCTGCCATTTTTGTGCTCTCTCTCTCTTCTCTCTGCTCTCTCTCTCAAGTCCCCATACATGTGCACATACATACATTTTTGGCCAGACCACTTGAAAATAAGTTGCTGATATGATAATTCATCCCTAAGTACTTCAGCATGTATTTCCTAAGAATAAGGACATTTTCCTTTGTAATTACAATAGCATTATCTCATCTAAGAAAACTAAAAATAATTTTTCTAATATCATGTAACATGTTGTCTATATTTAAATTTCTTCAGTTGCCCTAAAAGTGTCTATTGTACTTTTTTTTAATTCTTAATTTTTTTTTTTTTTTTTTTTTTAAGACAGAGTCTCACTCTACTGTCCTGAGTAGAGTGCCATGGCGTCAGCCTAGCTCACAGCAACCTCAAACTCCTGGGCTCAAGCGATCCTCCTGCCTCAGCCTCCCGACTAGCTGGGACTACAGGCATGCGCCACCATGCCTGGCTAATTTTTTCTATATATTTTTAGCTGTCCAGATAATTTCTTTCTATTTTTAGTAGAAACAGGGTCTCGCTCTTTCTCAGGCTGGTCTCGAACTCCTGAGCTCAAACAATCCACCTGCCTTGGCCTCCCAGAGTGCTAGGATTACAGGTGTGAGCCACCACGCCCGGCCTTAATTCTTAATTTTTGAAGGATCTTTTTAAGGTCAATTTATTGCATTTGGGTGTTAAGACTTTTCAGCTTCTTTTAATCTACAACAGTTCCCTAGCTTTTCTTTTTCAAGAGAGACAGCCTTAAATCTCAAGGAAACTGTAGTCTTGTTCATTCATTTATTTATTTGTTCATCCATCCATCCGTCTATCCATCTATCCTTCCATCCATCCAACAAACATTTGTTGATTACCTAGCATGTGCCAATAAATTAGCATAAGGGTCACCTGGACTGCTTGTTATAGTGATTCTTAAAGACTATTGTCCATTAGAATCAGCTGTGATGCTCGTCAAACCTATAGTCTGCACTGTTCAATATGGTAGTCACCAGCCACATGTGGCTATTTAAATGTAAATTAATCAAAATGAAATAAAATAATTCAGTTTCTCAGTCATGCTAGCCATATTTCCAGTGCTCAAAAGCCACATGTGGTTATTAGCTGCTCTAGTGGACAACACAGAATAGAACATTTCCATCTTCATAGAAAGTTCTACTTTTATAGATGCTAGCCACATCCCTGACCTGAGCCAGAGCGTGTTCCTAGAATTTACATACTTAACATACTCCCTGTCTGAATCTTATGCACATTAATAAATGAGAACCCTTGTTCTAGATCCCACTGGAGCTATTAAGTGTGAAAAAGGGACCATGCCAGAATGTTTTACACTCCTAATAGCCTGAATCGGGAAGCAGATAAGAAGTTGCAAGCCAGAACATCAAAGAGATTCAGGGCCTAGTAGAAGTGAAACTAATGTGTTAAAGCCATAGAAGGAACTGAACAGAGTGGGATGGTTGAGAGGGATGGACTGTGCTGTGGTCTGAACATTTGTGTTCCCCCTAAAATTCATATGTTGAAATCTAATCTCCAATGTGAGGGTATTTGGAGATGGGGCCTTTGGGAAGTGATTAGATCATGGGGGTAGGGCCCTCATGAGTGGAATTAGTGTCCTTATAGAAGAAGCTGAGAGAGATCTCATGTCCGTTCTACCATGTGAACCAGGATGCAGGCCCTCATTAGACATGGAATCAGCTGGCATCTTGATCTTGGATTTTGCAGCCTCCAGAACTGTGAGAATAAATTTCTGTTTATAAGCCACCCAGACTGTGCTATTATGATACAGCAACCCAAACAGATGAAGACAGACTGAGATGCAGCAAAATAGGATCAGGCAAGGAGCACATCTTTTGGATGCAAGAGTCCAGATACTGATCTTTTAACATGAAATTTAATGTGCAGGTAGATTCCTGCCATATTCCTGATCACTTCTGGAAAAAAGATCCATTGTGGATTTACTGTAGAAATTCTTAAATATTAGGCTAAAGCATCTGGAATTATTTGGTACGCTGTAGGGAGCCATTTAACATTGTAAACATTATAATTGGGGTGCTAACTAGGAGTAGGGGGGGACAGATGGAATAGGAGGACCTAGAGTTAGAAACTGCTATGTAGAGAATGCGGTGGAGGCTGGATGGGTGAGATTCACAGTAAAAATAGGCAAGATGAATAGGCGACATTACAAAGGGAGAATCATTTGGTTTCTGTCTGTAGATGGAGAAAAAAGAGTCAAAGCTGATGCTAAGATTTTGAACCAGAAAGAGACAATATTGGCTATAATTTTGAGAAAAATAGGGATCTACAGAGGGAACTATTTTGGGAGGGAAGATGGGTCCGGCAAGCTGAATACCAGTTGCTGGAGGTGAAGGCAGATCACATAGATGGGTAGATGAGGGACTGGGATGTAGAGATGCAGACTTGAGAAGTAGCCACTTGAAAGTGAGAGGGGGAGCCAGAACTGGGGAAGTGAGAACACAGAAACTGAGCCACGAAGTACACAGCCAAGCATGACAACTTGGCATCAGGAAGAAGTAGAGCCGGAGAAGGAGAAGCCAGAGAGCTAAGAGTCAGGACTATGTTTTCACAGATGTAAAGGAAAGCGTGATAGTAGCTTCAAATGCTACTGCAAAAGTTAAGAACAATGATGACAATGCCATTGCTTATGAGAGATTCCCAAAGAGCTCCCAAATGTGACAGTTCAGCTGTGCAGTGGGACACTTGGCCATTTGAAATGTGTTGGTTGCACGGAGGAGAGGGGAAAGCTATTAAGCACACACTCCAATGTTGGCAGGGCCCTTGTCCTGCCTGGGAGAATGTGACCATCCACTTTCTATTCAGAAGAGAAATTCATCAATAAGGATGGAGTCTGGCTGATTCTGAGTCCTCTCCTAGTTTGTAGGTGGGGGAGAAGAGGCCGATCACAAATGGAACAAGCCTATGTGAACAAAGCTACCGGCACCAGGAATGTCTAACTTCATACTTGCCACCCTGTTCTGCCATGAAGTTGAGCTCAGTCCCTGGGAAGAAAGAAGTGCTGGCTAGTTCTATGTGCTCCATCTGTGTAGTGAGAACTCTGTTTCAGCAGCAGGGATGTGTCTGGCGAGAGGTACATTGTGATGAACTCTAAGCCCAGTCATTTCTTATTCTTCAGCATTAAGGAGTATGGCTCTAGGGAACAGTGTTATTGAAGCTGGAAACATTTGTGGTATAGCCTTATTGCTCTCCACCTCTTTGAAGTTATTTGAAAATATCCCTTTAACCGGGCGCCGCGGTTCACACCTGTAATTCTAACACTCTGGGAGGCTGAGACAGGTGGATTGTTTGAGCTCAGGAGTTCGAGAACAGGCTGAGCAAGAGTGAGACCCGTCTCTACTAAAATAGAAAGAAATTAATTGGACAACTAAAAATATATAGAAAAAATTAGCTGGGCATGGTGGCACATGCCTGTAGTCCTAGCTACTCAGGAGGCTGAGGCAGGAGGATCGCTTGAGCCCAGGAGTTTGAGGTTGCTGTGAGCTAGGCTGATGCCACGGCACTCTAGCCCAGGCAACAGAGTGAGACTCTGTTTCAAAAAAAGAAAATATCCCT